CGTGTAGGTTTGGCCTCAAACACTGTGGAGAGTGGGTTGTGTGGTGACGTCAGCGTCATCTTCGCTCTCCTCGTTGGATCTGTCCACACTCTTGAGGAAGACCCCTGTCCTCGTCATTTGCATAAACATTTTATTTACTCAAATATGGAACTGGAATTCGAAATTTTTTGTATGAAAACGAGGAATCTTGTTTTTTTTTTTTTTACCTGTAAACCATATGATGGCGGGCAGGAAGAGAATCGACGTAAGAATAAGGGTGGTTTTTCTCCAGTTGTGAATGCGATCCTGAAACCGTTACAGATGTTTCACAACACTAACACAAAGGATGAACTCGATCCTTAATTCACACGCTCAGGCATGCTGTGAAATCCCTAAAGTTTCTACCCTTTTCTGCAGAAAGTTACTGCGAAAAGCTGATCTCACACATGTTATAGTTTTTTTACTGACCTTGAACTCTTGCTGTTTTGGCTCTAGGTAAATAAATATTATAGACATTTGCATAAGAGGGTATTGGGAGTGGAAGTCGAACCTGAATAACACCGACAATAGGAGAGGAAGGGACGTCGCCAAACACGTGGATCGAGACAGTGGACATGGCCATTGACAGCGGCCTCAAACTTGGTCTGACACAATGTAGACAGACAAAGTTGACTGGAGCCTGAAAACCGATCAATGTTGCAATTCCTCAGCGCTCGGCAAGCAACCACATCTGAAACATTACAGGGCTGTCTGAAACATACCTGCGGTGCAAAGATTAGGATTTCACCAACTGCAAAGAGAGCTATGAAAGCATACATGCTCTTCATACAGAAGGCGGCGAAACAGAATGCTGCACCGAGGAAAGTCGATGCTGCCAGAAGCTGTAAGAGAATGTAAAATTAGGAATGGTATCGGCAAGTGAAAAGACAGATCGTAGACCCAAAAGACTGGGTGATGGAGATTTTACCTTGAAAGTATTAGAGAGTGTAGCAGACATTTTGTCAAGAACGTAGCTACCGGCTAATGTTCCAACTATCCCACACACGATTGTAAGGCCTCCGAACACCATGTCTGCACTTTGCTGGTAAAGGGCCACGAGTTTGATCAGCCATCTCTTAAACGATACTGGCCATGGCTAGGCCACTGGGAGAGTAACTTAGAAACTAAAGCTTCCCAAATTGATTCAAGCAACAACTAGACAAGAAGCCTATACCATTTGATATATATCATAACCAGCTTTCGGGCCCCAATATGAGTATGCTCCAATTACGAAATTGTAGGTGATGTAGCCTGCATGCGAAAACAATCCAATTAGGTTGTACCAGATAAAAAGAGAAAACAATTACTTTTGTTGATAGAGGTTCAATTATAATACCGAGAACATTAACGACAAAAACTATCTCGAGGCAAAGAACTTTCAAGTCTAGTACGAACTGGACAATGGGGTTCCGTCTTCTCGATGAACCTCTTGACCTGCAAAAGGAAATGGAAACAGGAGGATTTAATGCCAAAAGCTGAAACTCCTGGTGTCAGTAGTCCAGCAGATATGTTTAAGTTGGAAAAAGAAGGGCATGCAAGATTTTGTCCTGGAAAAGTTTCATATAAGGGCCCAACAATATAAATAATGAAAGGAAAAGGGAAAGCAACTCACTGTGAGATTTCGTTTTCAACTTCTTCTGCATATGCAATGGAGAATAACATATTAAAAAAATTAGATACATCAGAAATTTCTCCAAAGAAGATGTGGAAGGCTCAATTTACTTCATGGTATTGAGCTGTAAGAGAATAAAGCATCATTACCTTCGGCCGTAGGAGCCACTGTTTCAATGGATGTTGATGCTTTCTTTGAACTAACAGGAGCAAAACCTGTTGATGGAGTTCAACGTTCAAAACATTTCAAGTACAAGTGGAATAGCCGGAAGAAACGAGATTAACAGTGAGGATAACATATTGAAAATAATCACCTTTCAGCTGAAGTGGTTTAATGCAAAATGACAAAATGGCAAAGAAAAACATCGGGATTGCCTCTATGTAGAATGCCCAGCGCCAGTTTAAATGGTTCCCAACCTGCACATGAAGCAGATGCATAAATTTCACACTGTAATTACCGAATCCATACACATATATCCCCAGTCGCAAATCAAGAAGAAAGACTTACATATCCACCGTACACATAGCCCAGAGCTACCCCTGATGGTATACACATGTAGAACAGTCCAAGCCAGAAACTTTTCTGGAAGAAAAGCAGTTACCTAGTTAGTAAATAACCAGTAAAACCTGGACGAAATGAAATGGTTCAACAGTTGAAAAGCTAACCCGAGCAGCGGGGGCATTGTCATCTATAAATGGTGCTGCAAGACTGATGAAAGATGCCTCGCCAACGCCTACAAGCCTATACAGGGAGAATACAGAAGATCATGATCAATACAGCAGATGAGAAAAGGAGTAGGAGCTGGCCCAAAGCACGTGAAACTTACATTCTACACACAGCAATCATCCAAAAGTTGAAGGAAAACCCACAACCAGCAGCAGCAATGGTCCAAACAGTTAAACCGACCCCAATCAGTCTAAAAGGGTTGACACTGAAACAACAAAGAGTTTGAACCCCGTGAAAAATTACAGAACAACGAAGCAGAAAACCTCAAAAAGAAACATAAATCCATTTTCTTGATAGAAATTTAACCTCTTTGCTGATGCAGCGAATATTGGAGAAGCCACAAGAAGTCCAACCATAAATGCAGATGATAAAAGACCATCTTGAAAGTTGTTCAAGTTAAACTCCCCCCTGTAGACAAGATTACAAGGGATGCCCATCACATTACAAGGGAGTCACTGACACTGATTTATACATCCACATGAAATTAGAATCATTCTTACTGAATTCCACTTCCAGGGGTGCATACCCCCTTATCATCACACTTCCTCTGGCTTCCATTGACACCATTGCTTGCTATCACTCCTCGATCCACATAATTTAACAAGTTAATGACACAAAAGATGACGAGCAACCTGAAACATACACATAGACAAAAGGGACATTTAGCTGTTAAATAGGAATTTATTGCTGTTAAAGCTCAGACAAGAGTACTAATTTTGAGTTCAGAGTTGTGAATCTGAGTCTGGGAACACTGATAAGGCTACAGACAGAGACCAAAGTTCGTATGTGTTTCTCGATTTATTGGCCTCGCGAATCTGTTAACGCTTTCTAATTGACATAAATCCCCACGGGAACCAGCACTATAAACTTCCAATTTTAATCCCCACGAAAACTAGCAATATGAACTTCCAATTTTCTTGGATTTTCTCAGCAGCCAAACACGATACCGCTATTTGCGTCACACGATTATTGCCCAACTATCGCCAACTAAATACCGTTCGCGACAAAATTTCTCGCATGTTCTCGCCATCAAAAAACATCAAATTCCTAGATTTCCACCACGTGAAAACCGTTTCGAAGAAAATCATCATCGCCGACTTCCACAAAAGAAATTTACCGAATCAAAAAATCGAATACCTTCCGGGAGTGAACCACGAGGGTGTGGGACCGGAATCCTTGGATCTGGTCGTCATCACAGATTCATCCGCCGGAACCGGCGCCGGAAAAGAAGAGGAAAACGCCGGCGGCTTCGATTCCCCCGACGAAGCTTCTCTGGGAGGAGAATCTCTCCGCTCAGGGACACCTTCTCCCGTCATTGCTTTTGAATTTCTTACTTCGGATCAAAAATTCAACCCGAAAAAGAAATCAATAGAAAAGAAGATGAAGATCTCCCCGCAAAGGATTAAAAGTCAAAAGCTTTTTCATATATATAAAGCGGAGGAAAAATCGGAATATTCGGTTACACGAGCTGTGATTTGTTATTCACATGGAAATCCCCAGTCGAGTTGGAATTATATCCAAAATCCATTACGAGCCTTTCCTATATGATTTTTATTTTCTAGTTTTTAAATAATAATGAAATCATATCTTTGTTTTTTTTTTTCGCATGTAGAAAGATTTGTCGTTATCATTAGCGAATCGTAATCACGAAAAAAATAAATTCATTTTTTTCCTATTTAATCAGAAAACTTGCTAATACGTATTGTGATAGGCGCACGTGTGTTATATAGTTTTGTACTTTGAAGATCGTCAGAATCTCGTTTGTGGAATCTAATCACAGCTTGACAACCTCGTCCGATTAAAACAATGGATCCTAAACAGTTATTTATTAAAACTTAAATTACAAGAGAATCCACTTAATTCTATTAATTTGGACGATAATTAATCAATATATTCAAATTCCGATAAATTCTAATATACCCCATATTGTTTATTAGTTTCAAATTTTGCCCCGTTATTTTAATATGACAACTTTCCCTTTCTATTGAAGTCGAGAAAGTGTTGAAATAGTTAGAACACCCCAAATCAATTGGTCACTCGTCGAGCTTCTTCGCCTTTATTACACCTTCCAAAACCCTCCATCGAGAATTTGCAATTTGCAATCGAATAAATTTGATAAATTTTCGTTTCGATTCCGAGCAAGAACAAGTTTTTCGTATCACCCATGGCGGAAGAAGATCCAATATTGTCATCCTTCACGCCTTACGTCCACTCTCAAACCCTAACCTGCCACGACCGCGCCGTTTCCTCGGTGAAATTCTCCTCCGACGGCCGCCTCCTCGCCTCCGCCTCTGCAGACAAGACCATCCGCACTTACGCAGTCAACCTCTCCGGAGACTCCGTCGCCGAGCCGCTCCGGGAGTTCACCGGTCACGAAAGCGGCATCTCCGACGTCGTCTTCTCGACGGACTCGCGGTTCATCGTCTCAGCCTCCGATGACAAAACCCTAAAGCTGTGGGACGTCGAAACAGGCTCTCTGATCAAGACGCTCGAGGGGCACACCAACTATGCCTTCTGCGTCAACTTCAATCCACAGTCCAACATGATCGTCTCTGGATCCTTCGATGAGACCGTTCGGATCTGGGATGTTAAAACTGGAAAATGCTTGAAGGTTCTTCCCGCGCACTCGGATCCTGTCACCGCCGTCGATTTCAATCGCGACGGGTCTCTCATCGTGTCTAGCAGCTACGACGGGCTGTGCCGTATTTGGGATGCAGGAACTGGGCATTGTTTGAAAACCCTAATTGACGATGAGAATCCACCTGTCTCCTTCGCCAGGTTCTCTCCAAACGGCAAGTTCATACTTGTTGGCACCCTCGACAATACTCTGGTGAGTTTGCTTTGGTTCCTCCCTTATTTTCAATATATTGGTTATGCTTCTATAATCTTAATTCTGCAATGTGATTATTAGCTATCGTCTCAATTGATCTAGAAAAACAGCATCGGCATAGTAATGGCATCTTGGGGAAATCTGAATGAATCTACGATGTATAGGAGAATCCAGTGTAAACGACATGTGAAATTTGTGTCATATTGTACGTTGGATAGATGAAAGGAAGTAACTTTAGTGTGGTTCCTCAAGGGTTTTTGTGCCCATTACCCAAATCTGGTATGGATAAGATGATTGGATTGGAGGACATAAATTCTTGGTTACATTTGTAACTTCAGTGCTTTGTCATATCCTAGTGTTTAACTTTGGGTAATTGGAGACATTTCTTGGTGTTCTGTTTGCTGCATCTAACATGTTTCTCCCAGCCTGAGCGGATAGTTGAGAAAGATACAAGACCCGATCAATCACCTTGACTTGCTTTGCGGGTTTTCGTTTTGATATTTCGTTTGTTAATTTCTCAATGTTTCATTGACATAAATTGATCTATCTGTGATATTATGTTCACAGAGATTGTGGAACCTTTCCACTTCAAAGTTCCTCAAAACGTACACAGGCCACACGAACTCGAAGTTCTGTGTTTCTTCTGCATTCTCTATCACAAACGGTAAATACATTGTTAGTGGTTCCGAGGACAGCTGCGTTTACATGTGGGAGCTGAATTCCCGGAAAATGCTTCAGAAAATGGAGGGTCACACTGATACCGTTATGTCGGTGGCATGCCATCCGACCGAGAATTTGATTGCCTCTGGCTCGCTCGACAAGTCTCTGAGGCTTTGGACCCAGAACCAGAAGAAGGAATGACAGTCGCTCTCTTATCTGATCTCCCCCCCAGAATCTAACCTGGACCCGTCTAATTTACTCTTCCAACGCTGTGTCTCTCTCTCTACCGCCATTTTCTTGCTGAGTTTTGTTGAAGAGTTAAATTCCTGTGTTGTGGTTTATATTAATTTGTGGCTAAGTACAGTGTTCTTAGTTGTCTGGCTGAATGGACATGGCAGACGTTTGTAAAAGCCCTACTCTTGCCCACATCAGTTGGAATCGGTGGGAGTTACCAAAGACAAGACTTGTGAAGTCCTTGTGCTTAAAGGACCTGTCCCTTCTCTTTCGGAACAGGTTTTATCCCTCCGATTCATAGCGTTTGCCCATGTAAGTATGTAACCTTATGACATATTTTCAAGCAGCAGTAGTACCATTGGTTTGTGTGGAGTTAGTAGATAGATGCTTGGGGCGGCCATTGTTATGGCGGGGCTGAGCAGTGGAGGAGACTAGAAGAAGGTGAAGCTTATGGTCGGTCCCCTTGGCTCTGTCACTGAAAAAGAAATTGAATAGTCTGTGTGTGAATTGGACCACCTTCGATTTCAAACACCAAAAAAAAAAAGATGTCTGCTTTGCTGCATCATTCCTGCATGTCTCTCTGCTTGATAAATTGTGTAGCGTGTGGATTGGACCACCTGTATTATGTTTCAGTTTTCGCCTCTCCTATCGAATATTTGAGGATCATACTTAGGTGTAGGGATAAAATGCATGGAGGGAACAGGGAGGAACATGGACCGAGGCACACTAAACAACAAGCAAAAGTTTTAATGGGTACAACGTGTTTCCATGGACCATGCTTCAACTCCTGCTTTGGACTTTGAGTTCTCCCTTCACTTAACCCAAAGTTTGATTATTAGTTTTTTCCTTAATTGCCTCAAAATCTTTTCCCTATTTCCAATGCAATAAAAGCTGAAAAACAGGGAGAAATACATATAAAATATAATCAACAAACGAATCTCTATGCAATGGAATGCGCCCACTTCCAAGGTTTTTCAATGACCTCATGAAACCCTAAACCCGTACCAAAATACCATAAAATTTCATTGCTGTCTGTTCCTCTTCCCCTTGCCGAGCTTCTCTATACAAGGTTCTGCTGCCCT